GAGTTTTTCCAACTGTCAGCAATCTTTTAGTAAAAAAAAAAAAAGAAAAAGAAAAAAGAGCCAACTTTCCAGTCCTGTTCTACCTGGGACACATTTTCTCCTCTGGGGCCCCTCCGCAGGCCTCTCCAGTTCTCTGTCAACACAGCGAAAGCCACCCCCTCCCTAGCCGCAGGCAGTTGAATGAAGCAGTTCTTTGCTCCACCGAAGGAAATATTTCCATGGAGTTGGGCCAAGAAAACCCCTTGCTTGAATCTGGGGCTGGCCCACACCCAAAGCCAGGGGGCCCTGCGTGGGGGTGGGGTGGGGCAATGTGGCTATCTTTCTCTAGTGTCAAGATGTGACTTCTACAATCCAACCCACGGCAGTGGTCTGCTTCACCAAGACCCTGTTCTTGGCCTGCTTTGTCTTCTCATAAATGGATTTCTTCAGGTCCTTCCAGCAGGAATGAAACCACTGAGGTGCACTTTTTTGCTTTTACCAGCTTGGAATTTGTTCACCTCTGGGGCAGATTCAGGAGAGTCCTTCCAGGAATTGGACGCAGCTAGGTGGCTGCCCCTGGCACCCACCCCCGTGCCCACCCCACACCTACCACCCATGTATGAATGCCTCTGTCCAGGTACTGGGCCTTATTCTATGCAGGACATGAATCCTGGGTCTCTTGATTTTTATTTACTTACTAGGAGAAGATTTTTAAATAGAGGTCAATAAAGAAGAGGCTAAAAGGGTCACTCTTCTTGTACTGATACATTAAAACCATTTTTTTTTACAGTTGGATCTCATTATGTTGCCCAGACTGGCCTTGAACTCGTAGGCTCAGGTGATTCTGTCTGCTTCAGCCTCCTGAGTAGCTAGGAGTATAGGCATATGCCACTATGCCTGGCTTTGGACTGCAGCTTTAAAACACACACACACACACACACGAGGAATACGTGGCAGTAGAGAAATTTGTAAATGTAGAAAAGAAGAAAAATCACTCAGAATGTATTCATTTAGCACAACTAATGGTACCATTTGGGGTATTACTCTCCAGCTCTTTTTCCTTGACACTAGTTGAAAAGTAGTCCCAAAATGCAACGTCCCCTGCCTGTCCACATACCACACTCCTCCAGAGGCCGATGAGGAAAAGGGCAACTCTGCTGTTGAGCATTTCCTCTTGGGTTACAGTTGGTCAGTGGGGAACGGGTGGAAGTCCAGCTAGTTCAAACACACAGATGCGCTGCCTTGAAGCCCAGCGGTCCATCTGGAATTAAAGTTCATCCTTGGCCTTCTGTGAAAGGCGGTGAACTTTATTTGTCTTTTTGCATCTACAATTTGGCAAACTCTTCTATGCAAGGCCGGGGCTGTGCCCAGAACTCTGATTTTAAGGGGAGCAGAGTGTTCCCGGCACTGGGAGCTGGGATCGGTATGGTTTCTGGACGAGCCGCTGTCAATTTCAAGATCCCAGAAGATAGGCCCGGTGTGTCTTTGATCACTTCCTCCAAATCCTTGGCTACCTGATGCCAATTCTTACCTCTTTTTTCTTTTTTTTTGAGATGGAGTTTCACTCTTGTTACCCAGGCTGGAGTGCAATGGCGCGATCTCGGCTCACCACAACCTCCACCTCCTGGGTTCAGGCAATTCTCCTGCCTCAACCTCCTGTGTAGCTGGGATTACAGGCGCGCGCCACCATGCCCAGTTAATGTTTTGTATTTTTAGTAGAGACGGGGTTTCACCATGTTGACCAGGATGGTCTCAACCTCTTGACCTCGTGATCCACCTGCCTCGGCCTCCCAAAGTGCTGGGATTACAGGCTTAAGCCACCGCGCCCGGCCAAGTCTCACCTCTTATGGGAGGTAGAGGTTGTACTTGACCATGACAAGCTTCCCCTTGTCCCACAAGAAAAAACAACAGCCCCATGGAAGACCCCCCATGTGCTCTACTGCTTCTCTGACTTGAGCTGAGGTCTATGGCAGAATGGGAGGGGGAGGGAGTTCAGTGATGTTCAGGGGTTTGAATGGCCAGAAGCTGGCACTAGAAGTAGAGACTGGGACTGCAGTGGCACCTTACATACGAGGTAGCCGAAGCAGCCTCCCTATCACTGCAGCCCCCCGGGAGAGTGAGGGAGAGGGACTCAAGAGAGTTCTGGTGCATGCTAAATTTCAGGGGTACATGGAAAACCAGGGAGTCGGCTTGGAGGGGGAGGCGCTCGGGGTTTGCTGTTTGCAAAAGTTCGCAGTATGATTTTTGAGAAGAGAGCGCATTTACACACGCCTGGGAGATGGGTATAGGAGGACTTTGTCTTCATTTTCCGGCTGGCTCTTAGGAGGTTTGTCCCCTTGCCCATAAGTATGTACATGTGGATAGGAGGCTGCTCACACGGCTTTTGAGGCTTCCCAAGTATGAATTAAAAAAAGAAAAATGTGTGCTTTGAATTAGATCTATGTGAAAAAAAAAAAAAAGCAGCAAGCTAAGCCATGTGTCTGGGACACTGGCTCCCCTCCAGGATTTCAGGAGAGTTGGGTTTCAGCATGCACAGAGAGAAAGTGCTCCATTTCTCAAACCTGGATTTCCTTGTCTGTTTTCCCCTATAGATACAAATCTGAGCCCTTGAATGGCCTTTTTGAGCAAGAAAGCATGTATAGCATTGCTCAGATTGAGAAACAGTTCAGATCCAAACATTACCATAGGTTTGGCTCCTTCAGGAATTTCTTCCATTGCTTTGGACCAATAAATATTTAAAAAGTTAGGTTCTGAGCTCCAGAAAAGCCAACAAAAACGTTTAAACATATGGATTTTTTTTTTTTTTTGAATTGCGGTTAAACCATGTTCAGTGGAGATCAGTTTGCAGCAGTCTTTTCTTCCTCTTTGCCTTACCACCTCCATCTCTCCTTTCTTTCTTTTTTTCTCTCTCTCTCTCTCCTCCTCTTTCTCTCTTTCTTTTCTTTTCTTTCTGGAAACCAGAAGGGTAAACATGTTGCTATGGAGTTCTGTTTAAAATAAAATACAATGGAAAGAAAAACAGCATGATGAAGTAACCACATGGACTGCAGGATACACCTGATACTAATTACTGTCATGCAGAATGTTCTGGAAGACATTTGACTCGCCTGATGTATACATTCAAATCAAGCAAAGGAGGACTGGAAGGCTCCTTGGGGACCATCTTGTCCAAGTCTTTCCTTTTTCCAGATGAGGAAGTAGGGGGCCCAGAGAGGGGGAGGGCCTGGACCTCAGCCTTCCAGCGCAGAGGGAGCAGAGCCGGGATTCAAACCCGCGGTGCTTTGTAGAAAACCCATAATTTCCAGGGTCTTTTTCCTTGGCCTGTCAGTAAGGCCCTGAAATAGAAGAGTGGGGTTTACTGTGAACCTCGAAGGAGCAGACTTCAGAGCCAGGGAGCCCAGAAAAGCTGGCTTCCCACTGGGAGGCCCAACTTCCTGCAGGGGCCGCAGCCCTCGAGGGGAGAGGCTGGACATTGGGTGTCTGGAACTTCTCCATCTCAGGGACTCCAGGGGCACCCCAACGAGGCCTGGGGCTCCCACCAGAATGTCAACTCGCATCCTCTTGGGGCTGCAGGGCTGACGCGAGCTGGCACTGTCTCTACGACAGCCTCCCGGGCCCCCGGGTGCGTGGCAGCGGATGCTCTCTGGCGGCCACCACCGTTCCCACGCACGGAGGGCTGAACGGCGAGCCCCATGACAATGCGCGCCCCTCGCCTCTGCCCCCGAGAGGCTAGCAACTGGGCCTCCCGGCGTCTGATTGGCCGCGGCGGCCTGACGACAGGGGCTCCTCGTTGCTGATTGGCCCCGGCCCGCTCCGGCTGTTTCCTAGCTATTAATACCGTGGCTAATAAACGTTCTCCTGTTGACGCGGGTGCTCGGAGCCATGATTTTTCGAAGCGTTCTTGACGTCTGTGTCTGGTGCGGGCGTTTCTGCTGTGCAAGGCCTGCTTCCGGGGCTGTGGTCCCTGGGGCTCCTGGCAAGCTCCACAGGCTGTAGAGGGGGTGTTTTCTTTCTCCCTCGAGTTACCTGACATATTAAAGCAGAACCCCACGAGGCCCCCAACGTCCCACGTCTCCAGCTCCCCAACAGCGCGCCTGTTGATGCAAAATCTAGGCCCCCGCACGCCCTCCCAAGGCTCTCTAGAGACCTGACGGTCAATGTTCACCTCCGTAGTCCTCAGCCGTGGCCATAGAAATAGCCCTTCTCCTTTCCTTTCAGCCCTAGAATCTCCCGTCTGATTTACAGTCACCTCGTGGGACCGCTGGGCATGGGGGGCTCCCTCTGAGGCCGCTTAAACTCCCTAAAGAAGTGCGAGGGAGCCGTTCGGACTTGATGCCCTCGGGGGGGGCCTCTCTGCTGTCCTCTCTGGGGCCCCTTGCTCATCCTCACCCACTTTCTGCTACCGGGCACTCCATCCTTGTCCTCCCGGCTGCCACCCACCTGTCACCCTAAGATAGATCCTCGGTCCCTTTCAACAGCATTTTGACCTTTGCGAGAGGACATCTGATTGACGGCCGTGCACGCTCTGGCACTCAGAGCCGGGCAGAGCCGCCGAGGGCTCCCACCTGTTAGGGATTAACGCTCATGTACCAGCCCCGGAGCCCGAGACCGCGGCGGGGCTCGGCGCAACATGTGTCGCTGCCTGCTTTCCGGGGCGGTGGTGGCGGTGGGGCTCTTTCCAAGGGCATGAGTGGGGGGATCACCCCAACTTTGAGGGGTAGTGCACATGGGACACAGTCCGTCCTCTAAAAGTACTTTCCTTAGAGGGCACGGCTCCTGCCCGGATTCTTATCACAACCCTGCTGTGTGTGTGGGGGTACCCCTCGTTAAAGTGGAAGGAACAGACCCCCTGGAAGAGGAGAGGGGATAACGGGTTCCGCGGACGCGAGTTGTAAGCGCCGGAGCCCGGGACTCAAAGCCAGGTTTTCTGACTCGGAGACTCGGAGCTCTGTCTCTCTTGTCTCAAAGAGAACGGTCAGAAACGCGCGGGTGGGCAGGGAGGGGGTGACAGCCTCCGGCTTACATCTGGGAACTAGTTATGTCCCCTGGGCATTTTGTTTTCCTGAACAGTAAGAGAAAGCATCGTTTTCTTTCGCTAAGCCCGCATCCTCTGACGGATGTTCCGAAACCGCCAGGTGTGGAATCTGCGCCCCGACAGCCCCACCTTGGCCCTCGGCCGCGGGAGGACGGCCAACCCTCGGGGCTATTCCCCACACACATTGTGCACGAATTCACCCTGCCTGGCCAGCCGGGATCACGCAGGGAAAAAGCACCCGCGACCACAGGGTGTTGGTCATGGCGGCCAGGGGCACTGCGGCAGATTTTTTTCCTCCCTTCTTTGCTGCAATCTGGGTGCGGCTAGAGCAATTTGTCATAGAATCTGGGGGGCTCATTTTTCCGGCCAATCACTTTTAGAGAAATGAGCGCATTGCAGCAGAATGCGCTGACGTCAGAGACCACCCCTTCTGCGCCTCCATATAAACCCCACCCAGCCAGCCCCTAGCGCAGACGGCGGAGAGCGGAGAAGGAGCGCGCCTTGGCTCGCTGGCCTTGGCTGCGGCTCCTCGGGAGAGCTGGGGCGCCCACGCGAGGATCCCTCACCTGGTGAGTGGTTGGCTATCCTTGCCGCGAAGGACGTGCAGAAGGAAGCCTGCATCCCCCTCTGGGGTGGACTCTGTCCTCCTGGACAGGCCGAGAGCCCGATCCCGGTCCTGCTGCTGGAGGCGGCCACTTCGTCTGGTGCCCAAGCGTCCCCAACGAAATTTGTCAGAAGGAAAATCTCAAGGCACATATTCCTGTGGGGAAGTCAGGGCTCCTCTCGAGAAGGTCCAGACCTTGAGGGCGGGCTGGGTGGTAGGGACTTCAGTTCAGAGGAGCGGGAGGAATCGGATGTAACCCCTCTTGGATTCGGTGTATGTCAGTCACTGGGGGGTGAACCCCGGATTTACTGTATTGGGAGCGCCTCTGGAGTTGCGTTAATAGTGGGAGATATGGCGGCGAAGCCTTCTACATGCCCCATGAATTAGGGGGGAGCACCCGAATGGAAGGGTCTCCCGGGCGGATTTGCCTGGCCAGTTGTTGGCCAGGGTTTTGGTGGATCGTGGGCGGGAGGAGTGGAGGTTCCTCTCGGCGAGGGATTCCAAATCCAAATACACAGGTTTAGTGCAGAGTGGACTCCAGGCAAAATGTAGAGTAAAATTTCTACCCGATATTATCATCTGGTTCTGCCCTGAGCAGCCACTTTCATAGTGGAGAGAGATGGCGCCCAAGTGCAAACCTGCCAGGAGCCCCCTAGGATCAGTCCCTGCTCAAGGGGGGCGAGGGATTGGGGGGAACAGGCAGAATAGATGCAGGGGGCGGGTTGGGGCGGAGAGACGGCCGTGTCCTTGGATCTGAGAAGAGGGAGGAGAGAAATTCAGAAAAGGGGGTGTGTTGCTGGGGTATGGACGCGGGGAGCTGGGGAGGAAGGGCCGCGGGGGTCTTTTCAGACTTGCGTGGTGGTCTCTCGAAAATCCTGACGTGTTGCAGGCTTGGACCTTTGGTCAAGTCGCCTTTTGCCGTTTCCTTTGTCCCTGTCAAGGCCCCCCAGGACGCCCCCTCCCACCCTGGGCCGGCGGGCCTGGTGGGGGCGCAGGCGGGTGGCTACGTGGCAGGTTTCTGGAAGGTTTCCTGGCTGGCCGCGAGAGGGCGCTGGCGTCACTGCGGAATTTTGGGGGGCGGGGTGGGGAGGGGAGGTGGCCTTTGTTCTCCTGCTGGAGGGGGTCGGGCGCGGGATCCACTGGAGGATCCTGGATTCATTTACCCAAGGGGGAACAGTTTCGAGACCCCCGGGTTGACTTCGGAGCGGCCACAGAGGCCGGGGTCGGCCCTGGCGCCGTGGCTTCGGGTGTCTTGGAGGCGCGCGGACGCACGTTAGTTGATTTCCAGTGGTTTTTGGTTTCGGGGGTCTTAGGAAGGTGCGGCTCATTTGAGCAGGATGGAGAGAGAGGCTGCGACAGGGTCAGTGAGGTGCCATCGCATGGGGTCTAGAAATTGTTGCTTGTGGCGAAGGAGGGAGGCACGACTTTGGGGGCGCGATGTCGACGCCTGGGGGCGAAGGCGGGGGGCCGGCAGGGTGGCCCCCTTTGCGTTACTTTCTAGCGATGTCATGGGTTCTGTCTCTCGTCCTGAGACCACCCACATGAGTGACAGCGGTGTCTGGAGGACTGGGTCTTTTTGACTTTAGTGAACGTGTGTTTAATTGGATTGCCGAAGGTGGGAGCTGATATTTCTGTTTCCTTGTCTCAGGCAAAGCAGCACTCTGGAGGGGCCTGGCATGGGTTCGCTGGGTGGCCCACGTTCCTCTGGGGCGGGGGTCCGGGTGGCTGCGGGTGCAAGAGGCCCCTGGCGCGGGCGGGAGGTGCTGGGTGGCCACAGGTGGGCTCTGGCTGGTGGTGGCTGGAGAGGCGTTGAGGGGGTGTAGGGGCCTGGCGCAGGGGTCTGGGGTGGGCTGTGCAGCCCTTCCTCGCCTGAGACCTGTTGGGCGCCCCCTGCCCTTCCAGGCCTGCCGGGCGCAGGCGGGGGCGCCGCAGGTGGCTGCGCTCCTGGGTTCAGGGTTAGGGCCGCGCGCCCCCTAGCGGTCCATGCCTGCCCCGCTACCCTGGGCTTTCAGTTGCGCACGCGCACACAGCTAACACTTGTGACCTGTCAATCAAATTATCATTACCCCCTCCCACTCCTCTCCTCCCCCTCCCATTTCTCCTCTCCCTCCACCCTTTCTCATTTCCCGTCCCTCCTCCCCCTCCTATTTTTCTCCTCCCTCCTCCCTCTTTCATCGTTCCTCTTCCTTCCTCCCCCTTTCCCCCTCATTTTTCTTATCTCTCTTTTCCCCTCCCCTCCCCTCCACTCCCCCTCCCTGGCCTCCTCTCCCTCCTCCCTCCATACCCCTTCCTCTTCCCTCCCAGCCCCTCCCTGCCGCCTTGCTCACTCCTCCCCTTTGCCACTCCTCTCTGCCTGCCCCCTCCCGCTGTCTGCTGTTCCGGTGCTGGCCGTTAGAAGTCATAAAGATGGTTTCTAACTTGCCCCCCTCCCGTGCCATAGGGTCCCTCCTCAGGGATGACATCATCCATCCACCTCCTTGTCTTCAAGGACCACCAACTCTCCATGCCGAGCTGCTGCCAAGGGGCCTGCTGCCCATCTACACCTCACGGTACCTCAGCCCTCCAGCAATCATTTCATATCCAACATGGTGGGGAGAATCTCCCAACCCCACCACCGTCCTTGCACCAACCCCAGACCCACTAGCAGTTAAAAGACAATTTTAAACTTTAATCAGCTTTAATTATAATTAAGTAACTTAAATTGTAATTATGACCTAGGCCTCGACTTTTTAAGCAGGTTCTCTAACCTTTGATTAATTGCAGAGGGCACTAGGAGCACGGATTCCTGGATCCCACCAGCATGCACAGCAGCCACTGACAGACTCCCAGGACCAGGATGGCAAAGGATGAAGAGGACCAGAACTGACCAGCCTGCTGTCCCTCTTGTCTACAGACTTAAACCAATGCCCTAGTGAGGGGGCATTGGGTGTTAAGCCCTGACCTTTGCTATGTTCATGCTTCGACTGTATGAGTTCTTTCCTATACATCTTTGCTTGTGTTCACCTGCTAGCAAACTGGAGTGTTTCCCTCCCCAAGGGGTCGTCAGTCTTTCTCGACTGTCTGTCATCACCCTTATGATGTCCTAAATGGAAGGATCCCTTTGGGAACTTCTCAGGAGGGGGACCTGGGCCGAGGGCTTGACCAGCATCCTGCTGGCAACTCCAAGGCCCTGGGTGGGCTTCTGGAATGAGCATGCAACTGAATCACCAAAGGCATGCCACACCTCTCTGGAGATCTTTCCTGTCCTTTTCTGGGGAATGGGGTTGATGGGAGCAACCTCCTAGGGTTGTTGTGAGAATTAAATGAGATTAAATTGGCTCAGGCAGGGTCTGGCATAGAGGAGGTGATCAGCAAATGTTTGTTGAAAAGTTTTGTCAGGTCAGTCCCTTCGCACCCCTTTTGTGTGTCTTACTCACCCTATTTATTCTCTCACAGCACTCCAGGCAGCCCTTGTCCACGGGGCTCTCCTTGCATCAGGTAGGGGCTTGCAGAGACCACCGACGGGCTGACTTGAGTAAGAACACGAATTACGCATGTGGCCATTTCCAGAGCACTTTCTATGTGACACGAACATGTGGTTTTTATGTACTATGTGTATGTAAATGAGTCAGCCTAATTTCCAGGTGACAATGCATTTGGTAGTATTGATTTGTGTAATTTAAAAAAGCTGAAAGGGAAAGAGGACCTGTGAGGACTTACATTTACATTAAAGAAACTGAAACTTGGGGGAGGTGTAAGTATTTGGTCACATTGCTGGCCAGAGAAGGGGTTAGAGTTGGACCCAGGGTGCCATGGTCGCTGCCCTCACCCCCTCTTCCTCTCTGTCCCAGAGTTATACTAAGAGTCTTTTTGTTTCAAACCGAACGTTTGACAACGGGACAGTCTGTTTGAAATCCCAGCTGCCTGGGGTGGTCTTGGGGGTCTGGGTGGCCCCAGTGCTGGTACCATGCATTGGCTTCACCTTTTAATAATGGTGTGACCTTAAACAAGTCACTTAACTTCTCTAAGTTTCAGGTTCTTTCATGGTCTAAATGCAGATGAAAACACACCCCCGCACACACACACCTCCCACCACGCACCTCCCCCCCCCCCCCCCCCCCACCCCCGCCACATACCCGCTCGTGTATCTACCCTGCAGGGCGCTTTTGAAGACCAAATGCTGTAAGTACTACGAAAGTGCTTTGTAAATTGCTGTGGAAATTGCAAGGTACTTAAACGCCTGAGCCTGTCCCTCCTCGCCCCCATGTCCAGGCCTATTCTCCCTTAGTGAGAACAGCACCCAGTCGGTGCTATGTATGCTTGTGTTCATTCAGAAATTCCAGAATAACTAAAAACGAATTAATTCAACAAACATTTTCTGGAGCACCGACAATATGCGCAGTGCACCAGGCTAGACGTCTGATGCAAAGATCATGAAAACGGTCTCTTGGAACCTAATTGGGGTCCTGGTTTGACCAGCACTTTCTTTGGTCCCCTTTTAAGCTGACTAGTTTTGTCCGGACAAGACAAAAACAACGTGGGCTGCTTTAGAGAAGTCCCGCTCGCTGCGGACAATGGCTGCCCGGCCTCTGAAAGGCGCTGATTGGATTATGTGGCAAATGGGGGTGCGAGGATGACTTGGACGGTGACAAATGAAGTGGGCGGAGACCTGCTTTGAGTTAATCCAGGCTATTAGGAGGGGACCTTTGTCTTCCAGAGACTGGCAGGAGCTTTTACCAGTGGTTAAAATGTTAAAAACATGCTTAAATGTTCAGGACAAATAATTTATGGTCGGTGAAAATCCAGGCCCCGGTGAGATTCGCGTGGGCTGTAAGATCGAGAGTGCTCTCCAGTGAGCAATGGCAGGGAATGTTTTGGTCACTGTTTGCAAGCGTCCCTTCATTTGATCCTCACAACTCCCTGTCCTGAGCCAGGGCCGGCCTGCCACTCCCAGGGAAACGGAGGCTGTCAAGCGCTTGCAGGTTAGGCGTCCTCACTGGCCCGTGGAGCCCCCATTGCCTGAGTTCCAGAGGCAGCATTGTACCTGCGTCAGCCCCGGCCTCCTCCAGAGGCCTCCCTCTGCATTTCTGACTTCGCTCTGCCGGCAGCCTGGAGCCTCCCAGGTCCCTGCTGTCGTCTTTTCTAGCCGCTACAGCCTCTGTCTTTCGTTTCACAGCTAAGCTGCTTGAAAGGCCTGTCTACACTCGCTGTCTTCCCTCCTCACCTCCATTTCCTCTTCAGCCCACTGCTTCCTGACTCGCTCTACTCCGTGGAAGGGCTCTCGCCAAGGTAAAGACTTTTCTGTAGCTTAACCCTCAGCACGTTTGCCACTCATGGCCACAAGGACGTGTTTCCATTCCTTCTCTCACATGTCTGCGGCTCCGGTTCACTTCTGTGCACTGACACTCCCCTTCGCAGAGACACCTGCTCCTCCTCCTCTCGTTCTTTGCACCCCTAGGAACTTGTATACCCACGACTCCCTCATGCGGGAGCTCAGTCCCTCGGACTGGCCCCATATGGGGCGTAGACGGCATGGTAAGACGCAGGTTCCAGAGTCAGGAGTCGCTGACCTGGGTTCGAGTCCTAGTTAAACTGCTCCGTGCTGAGACCTTGGAGTAGGTAAACTTTTCCAAGCCAGGCTTATCTCCATTTCAAAATAGGGTTAATCATCTTTATCTGGCAGGTCAGGTGGGATGTCTCCCAGGTAAGCGCCAGGTGCTGTTTGAAGGACTTTGAGGCAAAGTCAATAAAGCATTCATGAGAAAACACCACTGGAGGCTTCACTAGATTTTTGTATACATTGAATTCCCACGGGAGGACCAGAGAAAGAAGAAAGAAGTGGAAAGGGGTTGAGGGGCGTGCAGGACAGGCAGGAGAAGAGAAACAAAGGATTAAAGACAAAACAAATCAGAAAAGGAGACTTAAAAATATTAAAAGCCACCAAAAACACATCCAAAGGCGGTTTCCCCTTACGTTAGGTTGGGCTAAAAGAAAGCAAACAGGAAGAAGGTTTTAAATTGATTATCCCAATGACAAATCCCAGGAAGCTTTCACATCAAATCACCCTATTTTGGTTTTTTAACTTCTTCCATCGAGTTTAACCTCTTTACCTCTCACATCCTGGTAAACCCTGCCCCCTCCCCACCGTCCCCTTGGCTGGTGATTAACTCCCCCGAAGGTACACGGAGTATTTCAGTGAATGAATGGCTAACAGGAAAGGGCCTCCCCTCCCCCTTACCCCGGCGGTGTTTTTCAGTTTTATTCCACTTTCCCCCCTTTTCCCTTAATGAACACAGGCTAATCTCGGGCCTTGTCGAAGGAAGAGGCAGCAGACGTTAATGAGGTTAGCTGCTGGATTCCAATATTCATCTCATAAGGAGCCTTCTTTGTCTGCGAAGGAGAAACACACCGATTATCATCATGAGGTGAACTGGCCATCGCCGGGCAGGGGCGATGTGGCTTCTTTAAGCCACACGTCTAACTTTGGTGCCGGAGCTGACGTTTCGTTTGCTCCTCATTTAAGTCTTTGCCTCTGCCCCAGCGAAGTCTGTTCAGTGGGGTTGAGAGTGGCAAGCAGCTTGGGGAAAGGGGCTGTGGATAGGGTTGCATTGTAGAAAGCTGCTTTGTTAGATCCTTAGCGCAGATGCAACTGGCCAGGGCATTCATTCACTCTCCAAGAGCTGAGGACGAGGGGGTCCTCTCAGGACCCACGGAGGACACCCAAAACTCACTCAAGATTAACCGCTGGTAGGAAAGCACTAACTCCTAGGCGTAGCCCTAGGGGAGTGACCACAAGGTGAATACCCATGGAAGCCCCAGCCAGGTGAAGAAGTGAATGCATGTTGGCATCCCAGAGGGCCCCCGTAAGATACCATAGTTTGGGGTTCAAATTTGACTCCAGCGTACTGATGAAGTTGGGCGCAGGGGTCTAGTGATTTTTTAGGATCAAGCAGCAGAGAGGAGATTAAAACTCACATCTGGCATCAGAACTTGTGTTCTGATTGGCCTCTTAACTACCCTCACCCACGTGTCCTGCACCCTTCACCCACATGTCCTGTGCCCTGCCTGAACCCTCATCCTCTTTGTTCTGATCTTTGAGCTCCCTAGAGCCCGTTGATGTCTTTAGAGCAGGTATGTCCCGAGTCTGAATCATTCGTTTATTTTTCCCGAGCTCTGGATGTTCTCACCCCAGGGCAGATCAATCATGATTAGATCACTCCAATTAAACCTTAGGCTCCAGTCGGACCTTCAGCCAAATGGAAAAAAACTAGGTTGATAAGGGAGGTAGTTGAAGCAAGAAAATGTTATTCATTGAAACCTTAAGGGACCTTCCTTAGTGAATCTGTTGGCTAAAGGTTCTCTGGCATTGTGGGTTAGAATTGGATACTTTTTCCAAGTTAGCAAAACCAACTGTACCCCAGCACCCCACGAAAAAGAATGTGGAAGGATCTCCCTTTGGCCGGTTGGAGCAAAAGCCTGAGGCCATCCTCCATCCCTCTTGCCAAGGTGGGACTTGCGCAGTGACTGTGATGTAGTTGCCCACTCTGTCTGGGGGAGGTTGGGACCAGGGGTGGACTGGGGTGTAGACCTCTGAAGCTGAGGTCACATGAAAACCCAGCCCCCTCCCATGTAGCTGTTGGAGAATAGAAAAAACAGCACGCCTGACGTTTCTAGATGAGAAGACTTCTTTCAATAGTAATGAAGAATCCATGGACTCTCCTCACCCTCAAATACAGGCCCCAAAGCCACTGTTTGCACTCTGGTAGCCCTGCAGACATTTGAGAGCCTGGGGAGGCTGTAGAAGAAGTAAATCAGTTGGCCCTGCACAGTTCTCTGCAGCTCCTCCTGGAGCCCTAACAAACGTTCTTTTTATTTGTTGTTCTTATTTTTTTGAGACAGAGTCTCGCTCCGTCGCCAGGCTGGAGTGCAGTGGCGCGATCTCAGCTCACTGCAACCTCCGCCTCCTGGTTTCAAGCGATTCCCCTGCCTCAGCCTCCCTAGTAGCTGAGGCTACAGGTATACACCACCACACCCAGCTAATTTTTATATTTTTAGTAGAGATGGGGTTTCACCACGTTGGCCAGGATGGTCTCGATCTCTTGACCTCGTGATCTGCCCACCTCGGCTCCCCAAAGTGCTGGGATTACAGGCGTGAGCCACAGTGCTCAGCCAATAAACTTTCGAAAGTTAACTCCCCACATCCCCATCCTGCTTGGGTCTCTGGACTTTTCCGAGGCACTGGCAGAGGGGTCTCAGTGCTCCCTTGAGTGTAGGGGCGGCACCTTTAACCTGGCTACTTGTTTCTGGGGCACCCGAGAGCCAGCAGGGACAGGTCTGTGCCTTGAGAGGACGCAGCACTGTCACATGTGCCCAGGGAGCCCTGCCCCAACTCTTCAGTCCAGGGCCCTGGCTGGCTTCCCTTGTTGGTCCTCTGACCCAGAGCCTGCTCGTCCGGTAACATCCCTTGAGCCATCAGAGTTATCTCCTGGAAACGGGGAAGATGCAGCTTAGACAGATGGGAGAGGAGGCACATGGCCAGGGAGTGTCCCCACTCCATTCTTCTAAGAGCCACAGCTGCTTCTGCTTCTGCTGCCTTCTCTGTCCTCTCTCTCAGTGTCTCCTCCTCTCCCTCCCCAATTCCTGACTTGGCCCTCTTAGGATGCCCTTGGCCAGCCCCACAGCCCCACACCTCCTCAGGGTGTCCCAGCACCAGCCTGGCACAGAATGGGGCTCAGTTAGAGTATGTGGGATGTTGGTTTCTCCAGGCGACTGAATGAAAGGACTCGACCGCCACAGCTGAGCCACTAGGTGGGCCATGCGAGGAGTTCCAGGTGAAAAGGGTGCAGGGTGGATTCGTTTCCCAGAGGGGTGTGGGCAGCTTCCGACCCCTGCCCCATTTGAACGGGGGCCCTGATGGTCTCGTCCTTGCATTCACTCGCGCGGCCATTCCGTCATCCAACAGTTGATCCTAGCTGAGCAAGCCCACAGCCCTGGCTCTGGCCTGGGCACCTGCCACCGTAGCGCATCCCTTGATGGCCTCTGCATCCCAGGAGGGCAGGCCGGGGGGTCGCCCCAGCACCTGGAGCAGCCTGTTCTCCGGCTCCGTGGAGGGCAGGCTGGAGGGTGTGGGCAGATTTCAGCCATCCCCAGGGCTCTGCTCTGGTGGGAGCCAGCCCATCCTCCCTCTCGGCCTTCCCTGCCCCATTCCTGATGCTGAGCTGTTCTGGACCCCAGGCCCTGAATCTCAGGACCAAAGTGGGCATGGGAACAGCAGTAGTGTGTGCCCCCGGGCTTTGGCCACAGGTCTCCCTCTCGAGGTGCGGTCGTGACTGCGACCCTTCCCTTGCTGTGATGCTTTCCTCCCCCGGGGGTTGGTCCAGCTCCTTGATCCTCTAACAGCTGCAGAGGCCGGCATCCCATGCCGGGGACCAGCGGGGAAAACTCCAGGGTGCGTCTGCAGGCTCTGCCTTTGCCTATCTGGTCGCTTCTCTCCCTGGTGGCTCAGCTGGCTCTCCAGTGGCCAGGTTCCTTACCCACCGGGCACTCCGCTTGCAGGCCCACCTCCTCTTCTCTGCCTCAGTCCCTGGGCTCCAGGGCTTTAGTTGTGTAGCCCTCTGGCTTGTTCCCTCTGCCAAGCCCATACCTGTGGTCACCTGGCCCTCCTCGGTCTGAGTACCAACCCCCCACCCCCTGCTCCAGGAGCCACTCCCTCTCCAGCTGCCTGTTCCCAGCAGGTTCCCAGTGCCCCCACAAGACCCTTCTGGAGTCTCCATCTCCTGCCAAGCATCCTCCAATGCCTCCTCCTGTGGGTCTGGCTTCAGGGCTGAGAACAGACATGTGTCCTGCACCAGAGACCCCTCGTGATCAGGCCCTGGTGGGTGTTGCCCCCGCCTGCCTTTGCCTCCGCCATGGCCCCCAGAGTCCTGGGCTCCCCACTCAGTGTTGGATTTGGGGCTGCCCTTAACGCAGGCTGTTGCTTCTTTGGACCTTTCCTGTCATTGCCCCCAGCAATCACTCCACATCACTGGAGAGCAACCTGCAGGTGAGGCCATGCCCTGTGTCTGTCTTGGACATGTGTGGCTTTTCTGGGGCGTGTGCCTTGCCATGATCCTAACTCTCTGCCCTTCCCCAAGCGACGTGGGCCGTGGCCCGGCTGGGTCAGCTGAAGAACTGCAGATGGAAGTGGAGGAAGAGCCCCTGATGGGACCCACCACTCCGGACCCAAGTCTTCTTCCTGGCCAACCTCTTGCCTTCTTCCTGGTTTGGGGTGAGTTTCTTGCTCTCTTGAGACACCAGAATTTTATTAGGGTCAGCTCATGTCTCTCCTCTCTGTTCAAGAATGTCAACATTTAATCTGGGGAGGGGGCAAACTACCAAGGTGAATCTTTTCCACATAGCCTCGGAGGTCTGGGGGCCTGACGTCTGCCTGGAGTGGAGAGCCTTGCTAACCCCCGCCAGCACATGTGGGGGTCCACCCTGGCCGATGGCACGCTGTGGGCCAGCGACAGTAAGTGGGACGTGTCCGCCTCCATGGCAGACCCCCGAGAACAGCTGGGGCCGGCACACAGGAGCCCTCAGTACTTTGCTGGACACACTGGCACACGGGATGCAGGGCCCACTCCCGGCCCACAGACCCGTTCACACAGGAGGAAGTAGGAATGCTCGCTGCTCCTCAGCTGGGAAGACGTTTCTTCCCACCAGCCCTGTGAGAATCGTGGTTTCTCATACATGAGGCTTTGATAATGTCCTTTAATGAAATAGTGGCTTTCCAGCAAGGTCTTCTCTTGGCCTCCTTTCCTCACTCCTGAAATTGCAATGAGATGGTAATGTTTTTGTTTGTTTAAATGAAATCAGCAATGGTAGAAAGGAAGGGAGCAGGGGATCGAAGCCACACAATTCACTCGCACACTCACGTGTTTATTTGTGGGTTTACTCATTCAAGATGCACCTGGGAGCTGGCTGGGGCGTGGGCTCGGGCTTGTTTGGGGTGCCTGAGGCTGGTCTTTGCACTGAGGACCAGCGGGGTCTAGTTGGGTGCCCTGGGAGCCGCCATGCAGCGAGGTGGCTTGCACGGCAGCCAAGCAAAGTGGCATGGGGGGCAGGGGCTCAGGGTTGCATGTTGGACGGCCACGCCAGGGTGAAGCCTGGGCCGGCAGGAAGAGAGGAGGCCCAGCAGTGGGCACTTTTCCTTTCTGGGGTCCCAGGGACTGAGCCCATGGCTCACTCAGGGTGATGGGGTGTTTTTAGAGCCAGCTGCCCTGGGGGGCAGTGTCAGCCTCACGATATCCGTTGTATCTGACGCCCCTGGGGTGGTCACTGGCGTGAATGAGTACAGTGAGGCTTCCCAGGGGCCCTGAGTGGGCACCGAGAAAGGTCTGAACCATGGGGCGAGGCTGGCTCAGTGTCCCCCGACATTTATGGAGCCTTGAGTGAACGTTAGCACTGTCCTTGACCCAGATGCCCATACTCCCCCCGGACACCCACGCAGGGGGTCCCTGAGAGGGGTGGAGGAGCAGAGCCATGCACTGGGCCGCGCCCAGCCTGCAGCCCTCTGAACGCAGCAGCCTGGGTGCAGGCCCCCCCCAACCCCGCAGAGTCTGCGGTTTCCAACGCAGCCTCTGTAATGCTCTTTAATCAAACAGAGGATTTGGAGACAGCTCTTCTGCAGCCCTGCCCTTCTCCCCTGAAATTGAAATAGGATGGGGATATTATTTTTAAACAAATCTGGCAGCGGAGGCAGAGGGGGCAGAGGCGCGCTGACCTGGGCTGTTGCCTTTGTCTGCTTGCTTCTGCTCTCTGGAGAGCCCCTCAGCCTGGAGAGACGGGGGCAGTGTGTGCCCAGGGCTAAACCCAGGGAGGGGCCCAGGAACACTCTGCCCTGTGACATTTACTCCAAGGCTAGCATTTGCTGAGCCACCTGCAAACACAGTGATGTGGAGAAGAGGCCTGGGAGGGGAGCTTTGCGCAGGGCAGGATGCCGGGCTCCTGGGGGATGTGTCCCAGGCTTCCGAGAATGCATTTGCGTAGCTGGTCTGAGCCGGATCCCCTCGGCTCCTGAACTCATTTCTCAAGGACACCTGAGGACTTTCCCAAGGAGGACGAAGCCCAGGGGCAGAGTCAGAGCAAAGGCTGGGACAAACAGGCGAGGCCCAGACAGGACCACACTTTGCCAGCCCCCAGCTCTCGGGAGCTGAAAGGGAACCGTCTTTGCACCGACTTCTATTTCAGGTGCTCATGAGTGTTCAGTCTCAGGAAACACGTATTTGGGGTTTTGTGTGTCATGAAGTAGAAAGGTAAAAATATACCACATTCTCAACTAAAGAAGCTTAAACGTGACACAGTTCATCAGCCTTGCCAATGAGCCTCTCGGGAACTGCCGAAAGGCTATTAAGTGTTGAGAGACGTGATCATTTTCAGGAACATTCTATTTTATTTATTTATATTTTTTTATTTTTGAGAGGGAGTCTCGCTCTGTTGCCTAGGCTGGAGTGCAATGGCATGATCTCAGCTCATTGCAACCTCTGCCTCCTGGGTTCAAGTGATTCTCCTGCCTCAGGCTCCCCAGTAGCTGGGACTACAGGTGTCCGCCACCACACCCAGCTATATTTGTATTTTTAGTAGAGATGGGGTTTCACCATATCGGCCAGGCTGGTCTCGAACTCCTGACCTTGTGATCCACCCACCTCGGCCTCCCAAAGTGCTGGGATTACAGGCATGAGCCACTGCACCTGGCCATCTATTTTGATGGATTGGCCAATGCCTGAGCAATAGAGGGTGGAGAAGAGACCCCGACTGAGCAGGCAGTGAGCCACAGAGGGTCCTGTCACGTCGGTGGAGGGCAGTGAGGGATGTCTGGGCATTTGTCATAATGTTAAGTGGTTCCTAGGGGGCCGTCTCTAGTGGGACTCTTCTGGGTGGTGCAAGTGTCAGGGTGAAGACGGTGGTCCGGTCTGGAAACTGCCTCTTCTCTTCCACCTGCTACCCTCTAACCAAAGGCTAGCTCAGGCCTGAGCTCGTGGAAAGGCCCCTCATTCGCTCCCTCGCCCCCACCTTCTCTCACCTGCGAGTTGCTCATGGCTGTCTGCAGGACTCCTGACCTCCTGCCTCCTGAGTTGTGATTCAAACCCCAAATGTCTTTCCAAGTACATTTCTCCAAATAATGTCAAAACTCAGCAAGACTTAGGGGCAACAGGATGCATGGGCTTCTTATTCATTCATTTAGATGAAATAACGTAAATGCGTTTTTTTAAGAGCAATCTGACTTCCAGAAAGAATGGAAAAGAAAATCTACACGTCTTTAATGAGCTTGCTAATGAATTTTTCCTTGCAAGGAGGAAGGGAGCTTTCTACAGAAGGGGGTGTGCAGGGAGACAGATTCAGGTCCCAAAGGGTTAAAGGGCAGGGGGCATTGTGAGCGCAGTGGAAAAGCCGTGGGTCACTGGGGGCGGCTTCTTTTTAGGAGACTGGAATTAATGAGTTGTGAATTGTCCCAAGGACTGCTTCCCCCTCCCTGATGCATCTCTGAGCCCTGTCCGTCTCCCAAAGGAGGAATAAGGAAGTCTAGCCTGGTCTCCTATGCCCGATTTGAGCAGACGGAAAAGTCTAGAAAAGAGTTGTACCTTTCGAAATGAGGCCTCTCAAATGTGGGGTTCCCGGACTGGCAAGGAGAAGGATGACTCTGGGGGCAGAGAGGCTGTGGTTATGGCGCCCCATTCAGACAAGGCGTCCATGCCTGGGCTGCCCACAGGCTCTTGGGGGCATCTAAGGAAATGGAGCCACAGAATAGGCTTGCCTCCTTGGCACGGATCGGGTCAGTGTTTCAGAGCCAGGAAAGTTGGGAGTGCGGGGGGCCCTTGGCGCTGGTGGGGAGTGCGTGGCCCCTCGCCTACTGCATCCCCTCCCAGGAGCCCTGCCAGGAGAGGGGTCCCAACACCAGCTGGATCCAGTGGTCATGGAGGGACCTTATCTGAGAGGCCCACTTTTGAGGTGCTCATAGAGCTGGAATTCCTGGGGCCTTCAGGGTTTGAGTCAGGTCCTGAGGCCAGGGCCCGGGCCACCATCCTCACCACAGAACACTGTGGTCACTTTACTCAGGACAAACTGTGACAAGGACTCGGGACATATCTCTGTCTGTCCTCTCAGCTCCCGTCACCCCCGAGCCCTTGGCGATCGTGGGCTGCCCGTATACAGAGCAGGTGCTGGGTCACAGGGCCGCCGTGGGCCTCCCAACGTGAGGGGCTATGTGTGACAGAGGAGTTCATTGCGGGAGAGGACGGTGGCGGAGGGTGTAGCCATGACTTTCTTAATTGCTCTCCAATTTCTTTGGGCTTAAAAATAAATCCAGATGGAGAGTTCTTAAGTCCCCTACCCTGGGAGAAAGGAAGTCTGCCCACCACCTTCGGCTGCCCTCCGCTCTCGGCAGTGAATAGGGTCTTTGGCAGGGGCTTAAGGAGGAGACTCTTAGCCTGGGAGCTCCCAGGGCCGTTTCAGATGGAAACAAAGCCTCGGCGGAGAGGAATGTGGGGGAGCCCCCCGTGGGGAACAGCCACCTGGGGATAATTGGGAGGGCTGAGCGCAGATGAGTTTTCCCAGGTTCTGTGAATGCGCCCTTTCAATGGAAGGTGCCTTTTCTTCAGAAGAAAAGAAGAAAACGTCAATTACCTTCCCCAGAAATGGAGTGTGTGTGTTCCTCCCAGGGGCTGCGTGGGGCCCCTGCCCTTGTGTGTGTGTGTCGGGAGCTCCAAGGCTGCACAATGACGCACTTAACCAGCCACCGGGTTCACGCGACCCTGGGATGCTCACGCTCTCAGATTCTCGGGCTTGATTGTCGAAGGTTTCTTAGCAAAGGGGAATCAGGGTGGCTGTGCCTGTAAACAAAAATTTGATCAGCCTGGGCCTGTTGCCTGAAATATAGCCAAAGAGACAGAATAGGGCCGAGGAGAGGGAGGTCCAGGATGGAAAGCTGGGGGAGGACAGTGGGGGGCCAAAGGCTCACCGCAAGGCTGCGCTGGCCCCCTCGCTGCTCCATCTGCCGCTCCAGCGTTTTCCCTGGGCCCTGTTGGGACTGCACAGAGAGTGATTCCCTTTTGGGGGTGGGGGTTTAGAAATCCACAGGGCTGTTGTTTCACGGTTAGGGAGGAGAGGAGGGGGTCTCATGGCCTGCAGTGTCGGTGGGCAGCTGCGAGAGAGGGGACCCTTTGGTTAGAGAAAGTTGTTTGCATCACGACTGCCCCAGACTGCCATAAGGGTGGGGCCACTCCAGAGGGACTGGGGCAAAGTCCCTACCGTGACAGGAGGGGGCCCAGGTCGGTCTTGGCCCATCACTGACTTTGCTGGTGCTGGCTTCCAGCCTCGTTTGTAAGACTGCGTACTAGCCTGTCAGTTCTCCATATAATCCAAGTCAGAAGGAGCCTGGGAGGTCAGTGCTGTTTCAGGAGGGAACGGAGGTCCCCCAGTGTCCAGACTGGGTGTCCACTCTTCTCCTGGCTGGTCATACTGTCGCTACTTGGGACTTGTCAGGTAGACAGAGGAGAGAGTTCTTAGCTCTCTCCAGCAACTCGGGAGCAGTCTTCCAGAGACATGGTTACAGCCTGGCTCAGCCCTGACTATGAGTGTGACCTTGGCCCCTGTCTCCAGCCCCTAGGCCTCAGTCCCATAGTGGTCCAAGTGGCCTTGGCAGCCCCACAGTCTTAGGGTTTCTTCAGGCCTCCCTGGAGGTCATCTGTGGTTCGTTTGCTGGGTCTTTGGAGTTGTTGGGACTTTGGGGGTCACTGGTCCACTGCCCCCTCTGCTTTAGAGGTGGGAAGCCAGACATCTCAGAGGCCTGGAACCTCGCCCACGGTCGCACACTGCGCTGGCAGCAGACTCTGGAGGTGAGGCCCTGCCAGTTGCTAGCTCCTGCATGACCTGTGTTGTCAGGGGGTCACGGTCACTGAGGTCATTAGTGTGGTCAGAGCTCTTGCTGGAAGAAAGTTCCCAGGGGCTGCCCCTCGAGTTAGGATGCAGTGACCATGTTTTACAGGGCATTTATTCCAAACAGGCGGGCTACCAGGCTGGTCCGGAACACCTTTTTGGGCTGTAGAGTGACTCTTGCGTAATGAGACTGGCCTTGTAGCTTCAGAACCAGGACATGTTCGTCCCCCACCCTGTGGCTCACCCTGTGCCTTTTGGGCCCTGAGATCCTCGCCAACACCTCTGTTGGCCCTGTGGCCTGGTCAGCTGAGAACTTCCTGAAAAAGCCAGCAGGATGGCAACTTCTGGAAAAGTCATTAGTCACTGGGCTGCACGGCTGCCCGTCTTCCACCCAGCTCTGCAAACATTTCCAGCTCTCTCTTTGTGCTGCAGCGTGCGGTTATAGCAGCTCACAAAACCTCTGGTCGGGCCTGCGCCCGGCTGTTACCGTGATGGGCTCAGCTTTTGTTTTGTGACCTTGGCTGTTACAATACCTGCGAGCTGAAATGAGGAATCGAAAAATTGCCTGCTTCAATTAGACGGGCAGACTGCTTTCCCAAGGCTGCCTCCGCTGCTCCATCCATTAACGGTAAACAGGCACCAAACAGGCCCTAATTCTCTCTAATTGCCCACTCCTGAAGCAAAAGAGGTGAAATTCCAGGAAGAGGCATATGTAAACATCCTCTGTAACCTGACCAAGTAAAATTAGAAGGCTGATGGGGGCCTTCGAAAGAGAAGGGGACATGATTTCAAAAGATGTCCCAATTACCTCTCCCATTTTCATAAATGGGTCCGTAATGTCCAGGGCCCCGGCCTCACAAAGGTACAGGAAATTAGCTCTGCAAAGAGCTTGCATTTGTCAGGGGAAGTTTAAAGAGGGTGGTATTTACTCAACAGGTAGGAAGTACGAGATCTGAGCAAGGCTGACTGTGTAACGACAGGCTCTATTTCTTGAGATCAACATTTTAATAAAAATCATCCTTTTAGGTCCTTTGCTGTTTGAAACAGCCATAAGTTATTTATACCGAAGACATGCCAGATCAATTAAGTGCTTTTTGTCTCCAGAAAAGAGTAACTTTTAAAATCGTAAGATGCAGAGTGAGTTTTCTCATCGTGTTAAGCTGCGGTGGGTGTTTTTGCTATGTTCGCCAACACTTTCTGCGTGGGGCGTGAGCGCACTGCACGCACTTAGGAGGTCTTCGATCAAGTGCTTGTAGCAGTTACTCCTCTGGACGCTAGAAAGAGGCCTCGTGTTTTCCTTTGGTTTCAGACAGTGACTCATCTGTGCGGCTTTTCCGACATTTGTTAAGATTCCAGCCCAGCCCCGCGTTATTAACACATCACGCAAGCTTAGAGCGGGTACACGCAGCTTTTTAAACCAAAGCACGAATTGGCCGGGGCTTCACTGTAGCAGAGCAGCCTGGGGTCTGTACACAGAGTTCGTTAAGGACAGTCAGGGGCTCTGAGGCAGGAAAAAACCCAGATGCTCCTTCCTGCTTCTGATTTCCCTGCTCCTGTGAAAGACACAAAAAAAGGGTGAAACAAAAGCAGCAAACCAAGGCGCCCGGCTCCGAGTCCTGCGGGAAATGGCAGTGCCTTTGGTCTCGCTGTGTGCTCTTGGTCTGGAGTCTCGGTGCCACGTTCGGACGTGGCGATGGTGAGAGGACACCCCAGCCATGCACAGCCTCAGAGGGAGGGTGGGAAACGGTCTTGGGTGGTGGTCAGTACCTAATGGGTGGTCTGGCAGCCTTTAGGTCACTGAAGTCTGCCCCTCAGGCGCCCGTGCGCTGATCACTGCGTCACTAACGCTTGTTTTAAGACTTGTTGTTTTTTGGTTATCATTATAACCAGTGTTTATGGAGGCAAGGCTGGGGATGGGGTTCTCGGGAGGGACTGGAGGCAAGAAGTATCTCCTGTGTCCTGGCCGGGCCTGGGACCTCCCGGCTACAGACTGACTGGGAACAGAGACGCAGAGGCAGCAGGGGTGGGTTGGAGAGACCCCTGAGAGGCCTGGGGACAGGCAGCTTTGGGAGTCCCTCAAAGACCCACAGAGGGGCAGGCAGCTGGTCTCCCGGGACCTATTTTTTTTTTTTTTTTTTTTTTTGAGATGAGTCTCACTCTGTTGCCCAGGCTGGAGTACAGTGGCACAGTCTCAATTCACTACAACCTCTGCCTCCCAGGTTCAAGCGATTCTCCTGTCTCAGCCTCCTGAGTGGCTGGGAGTACAAGTGTACACCACCACACCCAGCTAACTTTCGTATTTTTAGTAGAGACGGGGTTTCACCATGTTGACCAGGCTGGTTTTGAACTCCTGACCTCAGGTGATCCGCCTGCCTCAGCCTCCCAGAGTGCTGGGACCTGTGGTTTGTGGCTTCTGCTTCCCCCAGTGCCCCCGGATCCCTCTCATGGCCTCTCTGTTTCCTGGGTGGCTTTGCGGGGGTGTCCCATGGTCTCCCCTGGCTTCCTACCTCCTCCTGTTTCTAATCCAGGAAACCGTCCCCAGAGAGGGTACCTGAAGACCTTAGCCTTGCCTTGTGCCCCTGGCTGCCCCATCACCCATCTTGCCACGCTGGTGGGACCTTGGCTGTCACAGGTCACCTTTCTGTGATACCGCCTCACTTTAAGGAGACTCTGTGAGCAGATTTTAAAAGCCATTGATTCAACACATTTTTAAAATGAATAAACTGTTTATTTTTCTGTATAGTTTTCAGTTTACAGAAACACTGGTGGGAAAGTACAGAGAATTCCCAGACCCTGTCCCCACCGTGTCCCCTCTCATTCACATGCTGCCTCCGAGTGGCATGCTCTGTTCCAATCGATGGAGCGACTCCGATACATGATTAACCAAAGGCCTTGGTTCACATCATTAGGGCTCCCTCTCTGTGGCCACATCCTGTGGGTCTTGACAAATGAGTCATGATACGCGTCTGACATTGCTGAAGTCACTCTTTTTCCTTTTATCATCATACTTTAAGTCCTGGGGTACATGTGCAGCTCATGCAGGTTTATTACATAGATGTACACGTGCCATGGTGGTTTGCTGCGTCCATCACCCCATCATCTGCTTTAGGTATTTCTCCTAATGCTATCCCTCCCCCGTCCCTATCTGCTGATAGGCCCTGGTGTGTGATGTTCCCCTGAAGTCACCTTTTTTCAAAGCTTAAAATCTTCGGAGCATTTGAACCACCTTTGGACCAGCCTGCTGCCTGATTAAAACATGAAAAAAAAAAACCAAAAAAAAAAAAACAAGTGAAAATGTAAGGCAAATCCTGCCACCGAAGACTCGCGGTGCTCCCCAGGGCCTGCAGCCATGTGAACAGAATTGCCGCAGTGGAGTTGTCTATCTAGGCATGCGTGTGAGCCATGGTTTTGGGAAACGCTGCCCGTAGTATCCCAGCAGCCCACCGTGGGCTGCCCTCCGGCCACACACCACTTCGCTGGTCTCCTCCAGAAGCAGCCGTCTTGTTCACCGACCTGGGCACCTGGCTTCTCTCAGAGCACAGGCTCATGCCCTGTCCTCAAAGGGGAGCGGCTTGCAGGGCCTGGGCCACCCCCCCCTTCTCATCTACGCAGTCCCCTAACCCTTTGGGTCCCACAGAGCAGGACTTCGCTCTGTGGACAGCACCAAGCCAAGTCTGTTCCATGTCTCCACACCTGTCCTTTCTGCTGCATGGGCAGCTGGTGGGTGAGGGGAGTGACAAGAGAAACACATGGCTTCCCGATGCCATGCTTGCTGGTGGTTGGGGAGTCACTGCCCCAGGCCACCCCTGACCCCTGAGAGCTGTTGTCCTTATCCGCCCTCCTGCTCCTCCTTGCCAGCCTGTGTGAGGTTCCAGTCAGTGACCTAGTGTCTTCTCCTTCCAGCCGACGCCATCCTGGATTCCTGCGTGGGAAGGGACCTTGAATGTGGGACCCCAGCCCCTCCAGCTTGAAATCGTAAGTGGCTGGAGTATAAACAGCACATGCGTGGCCTTGCTGTCGAGGGTGGGGCCTGCCTCCCGGAGCACACTGCCAGGTGGACCTCGTGGAGGGGCTGGCGGGTACTGGCTGGGGGGTCTGTGCACGGGGAAATGGGTACCCATTGAGTCCAGCTGAGTGCAGACCTGGGGGCTCCTGTTCTCTAAGACGGGAGCCCCCAGCCTCCTTGTGTTGTCTCTGTGGCAAAAGAATTCTATAGGCGGCTTCAAATGTCGGACCCCAAAAGAAATTCTTCTTTTTCACTCTTCTAAATGAATGGTCCTTTCATGATTGAGTCTCCCTTTGGCTCTTGTGCTGCAGGGCAGACTAGGATGGAAGTGCCCTGTGAGCTGGGGGCCCTTCAAAGGGCCAAGGAGAAAACGCAGGCCGGGGGAGCAGCCTTCCAAATGGGCTTCGAGCTCCAATGACCTTCACTCACCCCCTCGAAATGTCTGGAAAACATAATGGGCAGATTTTCTGTCTTCAAAGTTTCCGGCTAAACCTCTTCAAGTTCTTATTGTTTGGGACTGAGACACTCAGCCATGGTAATGGGTAGTTTCTTTTGTATTTGCCTTGAAAGGCCAAAATATTTTTATATTGCGACAGACAAAGCCACCTATTTAAAAATGAACTCCGTGTCCGTCGTTTCCCACCAGGAGACTCTGTACCATGTGTGTGTCTCTATGTATTCCGGGGTCTTGAAGCAGGTTTCTCATGGGGATGGTCATTCACCACGGCGCAGAGGGGCAGAGTGGGAGGCGCTTGCTCTGCCCGGGGGGGCTGGGGAACGTGGGCCCTCATCTCAGATCTGCCACCAGCATGTCTAGGACGTGAGCCCCAGAAGGGTCTGGGAGTAAACCTACCATTCACTGGGTCTCTGCCTGCATCAGCCATTCGTGTGTGTTCTGGACTGCGCGCTGTGTGTACCTTGGCGGTGACTCAGAAGAAGCAGGAATGCTAAAGATACTGTGAATGTCGTTGTTGAGAGGTTGTTTCACTGGTGTCTATTGTATCATGTGATAAATGAGGGGATGAATGCATGAATGAAGCAAGAGAGAATGAATAAACAAGTAAATAGGTAAAGAAAGTAAGCAAGCCAGGAGGCAGAGTGCGTGTACACCATCTACTTTGATGCCTAGGCAATCAGTGCATAAATAGAAAAGACCTGCTGAATCACTAAGTGATAGGGAAACACACAAAGTGATACCAGGTCATTAAGGACTAAGGAATATGTGTAATTCAAATATATGCCTCTGACATTTGACAATTAAAAAGAACCTAAATAAGGCTGGGCTTCGTGGCTCACGCCAGCCTTATTTAGGTTCTTTTTAATTGTCAAATTAAAAAGAATTTTAAAAAAATTTAGGTGATCCCAGCACTTTGGGAGGCTGAGGCAGGTGGATCACCATAGGTCAGGAGTTTGAGACTAACCTGACCAACATGGAAAAACCCCGTCTCTCCTAGAAATACCAAAATTAGCCGAGTGTGGTTACAGATGCCTATAATCTCAGCTACTCGGGAGGCTGAGGCAAGAGAATCACTTGGACCTGGGAGGCGGAGGTTGCAGTGAGCCAAGATCGTGCCACTGCACTCCAGCCTGGGCAATAGAGCAAAACTCTGTCTCAAAAATAAATAAATAAATACATACTTAAATAAAAGAAAGAACGGATGTGTGGGAAGTGGAATGCAGAATCAATTTTGAGGCCCGTCAAGATGAAAAGATGCAAGTTAGGGGAGGAGTGATCAAAAGGGAGAAGGGAAAGGTTTAAAAAAAAACCCAAAACAACAAATAAAAGATAGAAAAGTAAAAAATAACGTAGAGGATGAGTAACTATATAAGGAGAACCACGTCAGGCTATTGTAAGGCATGCATTAGGGCTCAGACAAATAACATATGCTCCTGGCATAGAAAAATGAAGAAACCACAGAGAAAGAGTCCAAAGAATACCAAAGACAGAAAGGGGACCCAGTGGGCCACAGGCAAGGGTGTCTTTCTACCAAAAGTTACCTAAGTCTGGGCACCTGAAGTCTGCACATAAATAAGTAAATGACAAAGGGAAGAAGGGCCAAAACGTGTGTACTGCATGTGTGGATGAATGCATGGACAAGGAGTGTGGGGCTGCAGGGCCAGGTGACAGGGCGGCATGGGGGGCTTTGAGTCATCCAGTCCTGGACACTGAGGTCTGTTAGAGGAAATAAAAAATAAAATAAAATCTTGATAAATAAAGAAATAAGGAAAAAATGTAACAAATGTTAAGTACAGAAATATTATTTAATTTTTTATGAAATATTAATTTATTGATAAAGATGTAAAAGAAGGCAATGGGACAGGTGGTGGCAAAAGGCCATCACACATTAAGGGCTATGGCTGGTCCACTTCCAGAAAACCAGTCTAGCCATTAAATAATAAACATCTAGAACAAGTCAGTGAGTATCTAAACAGAAAAGGACGAGGTGAATGAGAAGATGTGGCCCTGTGGGTCCTCCTGATGGGGGTGTTGGGGTCCCCTCTGGGCACCCCAGCTGCATGAGAGTGAAGGACAGGAGGTATGGAAAGCTATGATAGAAAGGAAGTGTAAAAAGAAATAATAACCAAACAGATGCATGGGTAGACCCACAAGGGGAGTTAGGCTAGGACTTGTCGTAAGTATTAGGCATTTATTCCTCCGTTAGTGGAATCACAGCACCTGAGGAATAAATGCCTAATAAAAAGAGGGAGCAGGAAGGAAGGATGCTATGAGCGAAGGAAGGAAGAAACACATGAGACGCGGAGCCGCACGGGCCGAGGATGGGTGCTTGCAGGATGTATGATGCACACAGCCCTGCCTGGCACTGAGCTCCGAAGACAGAGAGCAAGCGAGGACGCGTGCGAGAGAGAGAGACAAAAGCAATAACAAATGGGAAGAAATGTATAAAAAGGAAGAAAGTAATATATTAAGAAATAAATAGATGCATGCAGTTACGAGACAGAGCCATGCTAGGAACAGGAATGAGAAGCTGTGTGAGTCAAGCAGGCTGCTTAATTCCTGTCGGTGCTGCCGACATGGCCAACCACCTACCCAACTAAGGGACGGCTCAGAGTGTAAACATGGAAGGAAGGGCTTCCGTGGGGCCACGGGGGAGGCTCCGTTAGCTGCAGATTGTGGAGTATCCAGTTAGGTGCACCTGCTGTCTAGAAGTGTAAAAAGGAGTGTTGACACAGAAAGACTGAATGGATGCATGGTGAATGCATGAATGAATGAATGACAGAAAGGATTTGCGTTGAGCAGTGAGGAGGGTGTTGTAGAGAGGGGGTGAGGGTCATTGATCCTGGTGCAGAGCTCCAAAAGAATGACAGAAAGAAAGAGCGAGTGGTGGAAAGAAACAATAGCATGGGAAAAATAAAAATGGGAAAAAGGAAGTGAAAAAGATAATAAGTAGATCTAACAAGGGGATGAAAGGGGGTGGGTGCAGCACAAGCCATTCACATTAACTCAGATCTGTGGCTGTGAAGTTTGTTTTAAAAATTACAAGTGAAAGACTGAATGAGTCAATGCAGCCGGGCGCGGTGGCTCACACCTGTCCTCACAGCACTTTAAGAGGCCGAGGCAGGTGAATCACCCGAGGTTAGGAGTTTGAGACTAGCCTCACCAACATGGTGAAACCCCATTTCTATTAAAAATACAAAATTAGCTGGGCGTGCTGGCTCAGGCCTGTAATCCCAGCTACTCGGGAGGCTGAGGAAGGAGAATCATTTGAATCGGGAGGCGGAGGTTGCGGTGAGCTGAGACTGCGCCATTGTACTCCAGCCTGGGTGACAAGAGCGAAACTCTGTCTCAGAAAAAGAGACAGAATTAATACATGCGTTCCATAGGAATGCAAGAAAGCAGTGAGGAATGGAAAAATTGAAAGAACAAGAGAGGGATAGATGTAAGAAAAGAAAGTGAAATAGACCTATGTAAGAAAAGGTACTTCCTGGGTAGGTACTGAAATAGAATGAGTCAATTTTGGCCGGGCACGGTGGCTCAAGCCTGTAATCCCAGCACTTTGGGAGGCCGAGGCGGGTGGATCACGAGGTCAAGAGATCGAGACCATCCTGGTCAACATGGTGAAACTCGGTCTCTACCAAAAATACAAAAAATTAGCTGGGCATGGTGGTGTGTGCCTGTAATGCCAGATACTCAGGAGGCTGAGGCAGGAGAATTGCCTGAACCCAGGAGGCGGAGGTTGCGGTGAGCCGAGATCGTGCCATTGCACTCCAGCCTGGGTAACATGAGTGAAACTCCGTCTCAAAAAAAAAAAAAAAAAAAAAAAAAAAAAGAATGAGTCAATTTTATCCTTTAAATATACTAAATAGTAAACATTAAGGTTCATCAATAAAAACACAAATACGTGAATAGAGGAGTGTCTGGCTGAATGAATGAGAATGGATGATTTTCACTATCCTTTGCACTCAAGGCCCAAAAGATTGAAAAGAGAAAGTGAGAGGGGAGAGAATATGGAAACGTGTAGATGTTTATAAGCAATACAAAGGCATTGGATGAATAAATAAAGACATAAATGTGCGAGAGAGGGCAGTGCAAGGACAAAAAGAGGAGAGAAGGCCGCAAGAATTACGAGCAATTCAAAACTGGGTTCCTGAGCTAGTTAAATAAATCCTGCACCAAATCCCCATGGAGAAGAATCGGTGAACAAAAGACAACTCCACATGGACCGCTGTGCAGAGGCTCTGGGAGCCACAGATTATGGTTAATCCAGTTCTGTGCACCTGAGGTCCATAAATAAAAGAATTAATATTGAAATGAAAGAATGACAGAAAGAATGAATGGACACATGAACGACTGAATTAGAAATGGAAATGGCTGGCACAGCCAGGCAGGAGCTGCCCAGGGGAGTTTCATCTCACTCCGGGCACCTGAGGTCCAGAAGCATGAAAAGAGGCAGGAAGAGAAGTGTCAGGGCATCAGAGACAGAGATAAGGAAAGGCAAAAATGAAACTG